GCCTCAGCACCTGGGCCTTCTAGCACCTGCCCCCACTTAATTTCCCTTGCCACTTGCCCCCTCTCCTGCCCCCTCCACCTGCCTGAGTCCCCTGATGCCAGCCCCTCCTGGCACCTATCCCCTCCAAGTTGCCAAATGGAGGCAGATAAACACGTCCAGAAATCTTGTTAAAGAAGTTTCTCTCCTGACACAGAACTCAGACTAGCTCATACTCTTGAATTCCTGTATCTTTTCTCATAATCACATAATGCATTCTCACACGTATACTGGCCGATTCTACAAAATAATGTGTTCACTCACAACAGAATATCTGAGTGCAAGACAGTCCCAAGCCCATACTGTACCTACTAAAATCATGATAAAGACTTTTACCTAAAAGATCCTCCCTGGTATTCTTCAGGTAACAGTTTTCCATCTCTTGCTTTCTTCGCTAAGGCCTAAGAAAATGAAAATAGAAAATAACAGTTCATTCAAAATGTTCGAATAGAGTTGTAGCAATGCAGCTGGTGCAATAATCCACCCAAATCCTTCCCTCATTTTATTAGAAGCTATTTCATAACCTGCATAGTGGAACTCTGATTCGGTTAGAATAGTTGTGTTATTTTCAATGGAATTAAAGGGGCCTAGCAAGGAAAGGGTATTACTATAATGCTGTCATTGCACAACATTAAGCAGTTACATACAGTTCAGAGTTCCAAGACCAGAGACCTCAGCCTGCATAGTCCAATGGCAGCAATGGTCATTTAAAATTCCTTATTTTTTTTTTAAATTAAAGATACTAAAAAAAGAAGTAAAAAATCATGAAGGCACTTGAAATGTGAAAATTAAAGGCTTGCTTAATATTTTACAATAGCTTTATTCCCTTTCCTTTTGGCTTATAAAGGAACATATCTCATGCAACTTGAAAACATTTTAGCTAGTATTAAAAATAAAATTAAAATGTCCTGGAGAAAAAAAAGTTTTAGTTGAGATTGCCTGGAACAGGTGCAATGACCTTTTGCAAACAATTCAGCCTTCTTTTGTCTTCAAGGAAGTAAGGGCCTTGGCTGACATTTGTGGCAATTGTAAATAATTACAATAATAATAAAGTGTAACATGCCACATTTTCAATCAATTTATTATGATAAAAGGGCAAACAACATTTCATACGGAACATTTTTGTAGTTGGTTTGTACCACACTTTAATCTGAAATACACACATGGGTGGATTTGGGCTACCCAGCATGGCTTTAAAAGTCCCCATATGCCATGCAGACTGAGACATATCTACTACAGGGGGAACTGGGAATGGAGAAGCCCCCCGCTCTCCAACTTCTTCATACCTAGATGCGTGAAGCCAGCTGCACGCCCTTGCAGATCGTCAATGGGATCTGAGGAATTTCATCCTAGATCCCAACAACTGTGCATACTGCCATGCCAGACTGAACGTTGGGCATGGCAGGATGCTCAGTTGTTAGGATTCAGGATAAAATTCCCCAAATTGCAATATGCATGCGGCATGTGCAAGGGTCCTAATAAAAACACATGCATAACCACAGAAGGGGAAAAAGAACACAACAACAAAAGTAGAAAGTGTTGTTTATACCTCTGGTGCTGACCCTTACAATCTCACTGGTAGAGAAAGACAGATATAGCACATAGCTTTAGCATCCAACTGGGGACTTGGTAAACTCATAACAGTTTCACTGTTTAAGACACTACTTTAAATGGTCTTGCAGGTTGACAGCATTGCTTGGCTAGCTAAGTTAGCCTTTTATTAAATGGAAGTCAGAGGGAGACAGAGAAGAAATGTAGGGGGGAGGGGGAGGGGCAGAGAAGAGGGAGAAGTGACAGGAAAAAAAGGATGAAAGCATGAACTCAAGTCTGACATCCCAGATGCTGATCAAGAGGATAAAAAACGGAGGCCAGAAGAAGTGGTGGCTCTCTCATTTGGCCTGATTTCTTTGAGGGTAAGGAAATAGAAGCCTAGCAGTTTCTTACAGCCCAGAAGGCAGCAGTTTCAAGCATTACCTCAAACTCTTTATCAAGTATCTTATAAGAGGCTGGTGGTAAGAATAGCTAATTCCCTCATTTTTCCTCCACTAATTCACCCTAATTTCTGATTAAACAATTTCGGTTCATTCTCCTTTTCTTTACTAGTGCTTTTAAAGTTTTGGAGCAGGATCTCAAAATGCGGCAAGGGATTGGGCCAGACCCAGAAATGTGCATTCCCATTTGTCCAAGTTAAAAACCTTTGAAAAAACAAATCAGTTTGTATGCACACAGGAGAGATTGTTTTAGCTGTTAAAAAATCACAATATCTGAATAGTTTGTTCTTGCTGAACATGCTCCATCCTCTCATAACTATTCATATTGATCAAACTGCACATGAGTCTTCCCCAAAGAGCTCTTACATATGGACTGAATACACATGTATAGTCCCAAAAGAACGAATAAATGAATGAATGTGATGCTGCAAAGGGCTTCAAATGATTTTCCCTGCAACTATTATTTTCAGTTGTTCTGGATCAGGGTAGGGCTACCACCAGAAATAAGAAGAGGGATATTAACATCCCTCACATCCAGAGGGGTGGGAAGGCTATAGTAGTTCATCCTGGCAAAAAAGCTGCAGCTAAGGGTAGAAGGAGGAGTAAACTGTAACAGTCTGGTGAAACAGAGACAATTAGAATGGGGAAAATTTTGACTATGAATTTGAGTGGAAGACAGTAAATGTAGGTAGGCAAGACTGCTAAGGTCAGGAGATTGAAAACTAGGATAGAGATGGCTGAGACTGAGAGCTGATGAGGGAAATAGGGCAGGGACTATCAGCCAGTTGGCTGGAAGAACTCTGAAATAGATGAAACATTCAGGGTGGAAGGAGACTGGGACTAGTGGAAAGGAGAGACACTTGACAAGCAACTGGATTCAAGAAAACTGGAAGAGTCAGAGAAAAGACACCAGAGCCAGAGGAAGACTCTGGAATGAATGACAAGCCCAAGAAAGAAGGAAAATCTGGAACTGTTCGCAAGAACCGAGAGTCAGAGGGTGAACAACAAAGAGAAATATCACGCAGTAAGGAAACTGTTCTAGGATGAGAAGCCTGATAGTTGGAAACTAGCAATGGATATGCACAGTCAGGCATGATGGGGTGGATAATACAGAGCAGAATGGCCAAATTTAGGGAAACAGGCAAGAGTCCATGCCTATTACAGATTATCCTCTCCTCTGCCCACTCACTAAACTTGAAGGAAATACAAGGTTCTCAACTTTCAGCATTTCTCTGCTTTTAGAAAATAACTGTAGAACCAACACAATGTTTGCCTTACCCATCTAGTACCATGTAGAAAAGACCACAATTGGTTATTGGTACTACATTACTATGGTGCTCCAAGTACCATAGGATTGTGCAACACCTCTGTAGGTTCAAAACCTGTTCATGACCCTGATGGGGGTTGATATGGTGCTATGTGATAGAATCTCTAGGTTTGGGGGAGGGAAGGGAGTTGTTTTTTTTTTAATAAAAAGGAATTAAGCAAAAAACTACACTGAAAAGACACAAAATGAGGTTGCAAAAATCATAGAAAAATAGAAAATTAGGGTTGGAAGGGACCTCAAGATGTCACCTAGTCCAACCCCCTGCTCAAAGCAGGACCATCCCCAACTAAATCATCCCAGCCAAGGCTTTGTCTAGTCAGGTCTTAAAAACCTCCAAGGATGAAGAGTCCACAATCTCTCTGGGTAACCTGTTCCAGTGCTTTACTAATCTCTCTCCTAGTGAGAAAGTTTTTCCCAAAATCTAACAACCTTCCCTTGTTGCAACTTGAGACCATTGCTCCTTGTTCTGTCATCTGTCACCACTGAGAACAGTCCATCCTTTTTTGAACCCCTCTTCATGTAGTTGAAGGTTACTGTTAAATCCCCTTAGTCTTCTCTTTTCTAGACTAAATAAGCCCAGTTCCCTCAGTCTTTCCTCATAAGTCCCCATCCCCCTCACCATTTCTGTTGCCTTGCGCTGGACCCTCTCCAATTTGTCCACATCCTTTCTGTAGTGGGGGGCACAAACTTGAAGACAGTACTCCAGATGTGGCCTTACCAGTCCTGAATAGAGGAGAATAATCACTTCCCTCGACCTCCTGGCAACACTCTTACTGATGTAGCTCAGTATGTCATCAGCCTTCTTTGCAACAAGGGTGCACTGTTTGCTCATATTCACCTTATTGTCCACTTTAACCCCTAGGTCATTTTCTGCAGAGCTGCTGCCCAGCCAGTCAGCCCCTAGCCTGTACTGATGCATGGGATTGTTCCGTCCTAAGTGCAGGACTCTGCATTTGTCCTTGTTGAACCTCATGAGATTCCTTTTGGCCCAACCTCCAGTGTGTCTAGGTCACTGAATCCTAGCCCTACCCTCCAGTATATCTACTACTCCCCCCAGCTTGGTGTCATCTGTAAACTTTCTGAGGGTGTGCTCTGTGCCATCTTCCAGGTCACTGATGAAGACATTAAGTAAAACCTGACCCAGGACTGACATTGTTACATGCAAACTATTCAAATTCTGTATGAAGGCATAATTATTACATTTTCTCAAAAAGATTATGGCCCTCACCACGAGAGCATCCATGTACATTATAGACATAAATGCATCTTCCCAAACCCCTGTAAAATAAAAAAAGAAAACATTCTCATTTAATTGAGAGCTAAGGTACACAATGATCATGATTAAAAAATATGAGATTTGGGTGCCTAGTTTGAAACTATGGGCCTTATTTTCAGTTTATGTAACATAAATCTATTCATCTATACCAACCATGGACTAGCCAGCATTTCAGCAAATCAGTTCCTACAGTCAGGCACTCAGACAATGGGGGAATCTCATGTCACTCATTACTGATCACGTATCAATAGTTTGGTTTAAATGAGTTGCTCAGCATCAAACTGAAACTCTGTACCAGGCAGCGAGAACTCAATTTCTCCAGTGAAGCATTCAACTGTTTTCACCAACTGAATTACTGTAACCCCCTGCAAACCTTCCAACTCCTATAAAAACACAGCAGTGGCCCTATGGACAAAAGCTTTTTTCAGTATACAGCAAGCCCATGCTGTGCTCTGAATGAAGCAAGGATTCTGTGAAAAACCTACCATGTAAGTTTACAATTAAAGATGGTGTCACAATGCACGTGAACAGGAGGAGCAGATTTTGGCTGAGCATGAAAACTAACTTCAGGAATCTCCTAACTGCCATGTATTTGACTTTGCAACCTTAATTTTGCTTTTCATGTAATTTTTGTGCAAACTCTATATAAAAGATCACAAGCCATAAAAAGTCAAGCCACAGACTATTAATATAGCAGTCAAAGTTGGTAGTTAATAAAAGGGAAGATAATAGGGTTGTTCTCTTTAAAATGTCAAGTAGCATGCGCTACCCCACACTGGAACAACAGCAGCACTATGCCTTTTTTCCAGGCAAAAGCAACTATTTCCAAAACTCATCAGAGCATGTAAGACAAGAGGCTTTTCCCCATGCTGACTAGAGGGTGTGGAGGGAACCTCATCTTATATTTGAGTAAATACTTCATATTGTAAAACCATCTGCAATTAAAAATTAATTCAAATTGCTCAGATAAGAATTTGACATATGGACTGAATACTGGCCATAAGCAATGGACAATTATAAATAGCGGTTTATCGAAGAGAGAGGCATTTCTTTGATCATTTTTAGGATTAGTCTAATTACATTTTAACTATGTGGCAGAGAGAATAAAATGCTGAATTAATGAACTTCGAAATATTAAACTGGAAGCAATGCCATGGTGACAACAAAACTACATATTTTCACTTTTCCCCATGTGAAAAAATATCTGTTTTTTTCCATTCAGAAGAACAAACAGAGGGAAATTGCAAAAATCAAAATCTCCTATTCTAATGTGCAGTGAGAATCAGATGTTTTGGTACATACTCAGAAAACCAGATAAAAAGGTTCTTATATTTTAGAGGGACTGCTTGAAGAATGAGGTACAATTCTACAAAAAGGCATCTTACCCAGGGGATCTACTTATTTAGCTTTTTGGAAATTTGTTTGGAAAAACATAAAGGTTAAAAAGGATATGTATAATTTGTTCAGAAGTAAAGCAAGGTTCAGTCAAATCAATGGCAACTTTCTGATATGCCTACTGCAGAAAAGTTTGGTTTGGTTCTAAGTGGGGATGGAGAATTGACCAAGTACAATTACAAAGGGCAGTATTTTAAGTTGTACTCCTTTTCTCTCTTTAAGCTGTACCAAACTACTTTTTCCTTGACACTCGTTTGTCTACATGAAATTTGCAGCAAAATTATGCTTCCTAGCGATACTTCTAGGTGTTTTTCTTTTATGAATTGGAAGTTCGCATTAAATAAAACTTTTGTTCTATGGAGATAAGCAATTAGTAAATATGTTTGCTACTTTCCTCTTTTTTTCTCCCCTTGACGGTTTATTCCCTCTGTTCTGTATTACAGTCAAGGTAGCTAGAGCTTGGATGACAGGGCCAATTAGAGAGACACCAGAACAGTTATCCAAGAACTACCTCCAGTGTAGGACCCACTCCCAGGAGATAGAAAATAATTATTTGTGCTTCTGTTGTTCTGCTCAACTATGTTAATACACTGAATTGCTACAGCATGTTTATGAGATAATTCAGACCATTTAATGAACAGTGATGTAACATTACAACTTCCTTGTAAGGCACATGTTCTTATCCCATTTTTTGCAGAAGACTATTCATACTATACTTTGAAACTGTAAAACAATGATTTTATGATCTGAACTGCCTCTGAATCTTATGTCTATGATACAAGACCTTACTTCCACTGAAAATAATGGCACCTACATATGGTAATACAAAACAAAGTCACAACTGCAACTTGAGTCAGGATTCATTAATTTACACTACAACTATAAAGAATCTCAGTTTCATGAAAGAAGGTGAAAAAGTTTGTCTTATAACAGTTCTGCCTCCATCCACAATGTAACTTTTGAATAATACACCTAGATACTCATTTAAACATGGTTCCTAGAGAGGATGACCCAACACATCAGCAAAATTTGTTGACCCAGATATTTTCTAATGGGTGCTTTCCAATAAAAAATATAGGGACCTTTCCTTCTTCTGAGATGAGCTGAAATGGGATATAAATAGAGGTTGGAAGAATGGTGAATGAAGGCAAATATTTACATCTCATCTGTGATGCTGATGTCTTGGCAAATAATTTTCTACCCTGTAGCTGCTTATAACGAATCTTTCCATCAAGACTCTGAAAGGCTGCAGTGAACTATTGAGTACAATTATTGTAGCTGAGTTAGACTAGTAATTAGGAAATATAATGGGTTCTGATCCCAAAGAGCCACAGATGTGCTAAACAATCCATAAGATTTTTAACAGAACAGAATACAGAAGGATACAATAAAGCAGAAAAAACTGCTCTATTATGGCCACTGACCTGCAAAAGCTTGTTGGCGATATATCTCAAACAGTCTCAGTAAAAAAGACTCAAAGCTAACCCAGGGCATTAGAAAATCTTGACAGCATAGAATAAATATAAAACCTATAAAGAGAATATATAGGAACTTGTACTTTAAATAAATGTCTAACAGTAATTATAAAACCAGAGAAAGGCATCCAGAGAAAGAACCCTTGTCTACACAAAAGGGATAGTAAGAATATATAAAATAGGTGAAACAAAACTACTCACATGATCAAAATAAAGGTAATTTCATGTACACATGACCTGGAAATAAGTCAGAATTAGCACAAGGCAATAGGGGACACAGATGTAATCCAGCCATCAGGTGAAGCATCTGCCATAGTATATGGGAACTCTCTCTAATCACAGCCTCTTAGATTAAAAAAGTGAAATAAAAGTATTTTTCCAGTGCATACTGAAGTTGCTAAAGAAACAAAATTATGTCCATGGGTACACTCAAATCCTGCACCCTTTCCTATGTTAGATTTAAGTATAGGTATGCAGTAGCTGTAGATGAATAGTCTAACTGATCTTAGGATCACAGGACACCTATACACAAGCAGCAAGGCTGCTCCAATGTGCTGTAATTACAGCGCGTTGGAGCAGGCTCGATTAAATCAAGTCTGCTGGAGAGTGGCAATTACCGCACTCCAGACTCCAACATCTTGTGCGTTAGCATCCCCGATAAAAATGAAATGAAAGCTTGCACCGCCATTTTTAAGTGCCAGGATGCTGATACATGAGATGCTCCAGGCGCTTTAAATAGGGATGTATAAACACCCATAGTGTTTAAGAATAATCCATTTTGGAACTCTTTCCAACAGAGCAATGCTTCACAACAGTGCATCATCTTGCAGTCAGTGATAAGAAATTAAGCCCTTTTCTAACCTCTTCTTGTAACTGTAGTTCTCACATTCTTAACCTGCATTGATGGTTCAATGTACTTTTATGTATTGCGATTACAGAAAAGGAGATCTGAGAATAAGCAGCCTCTTGGAAAGAGTAACTGAACAACTATACTAGTCCAACACAGAAGAAGGGGGCAGTGAGGGAATTTGAAGTGTTTATTGTATTCTCTACTATCCTTGACTTCTTGGCTAGCTGGTAGGTCACTGAAAGGCCTGACTTTTCTATCACAGCTGACACAAACTATTCTCTTTCAATAATGATTATATATTTTATTTTCATAAGCGTTGTTACTATGAAGCGGGAAAAAAACGTTTCTTTCTTTCTTCTTCCAACCCTGGTATGCAGAAAAAATTCCACGCAGAGCGAAACTGGGTGAAATGACATACAGGAGGAACACTCATGCCTGCATTCACGTAGCTTTACACTCCAACAATTTGCTTACCCCACAAGGGGAAGATTACACCTACATAAGGGTCTCTGAGGTAGCAAAGAGCTGTCATTGTGGCTCCCAAGCCACAACTGATTTTCTGCAGTGAATGAGAAAGAGAATCAGCTGGGGTACTCCTGTACCTCAGCTACTCCTGCCTTCCACAGCAGCCTTCTGGCATTGTTGATGACAGCTGTCACAATCAGAGTAGCTCTAATTTGCACCTGGCTTGGCATAACGTAGCCCTATGGTCTGGGAGGCACAAAGCTAGCTAAAAGCCACCTTTGAGTAAAGCTTCTTTTCTGACTTCTGCTGAGCACACAATGGTGAGTCACAAATCAAGGCTGTAATATATAAAACAGAACAAAACAAATGGATCCCCATCTACTTTCTAGAAAAAAAGAGTGCAATTACTGAAAAATCTGAAATTACTTAATCTATTGCTAACAAAAGTTTATCTAAATATATCAGTGTGATTTTAATGCTGAAGGCTGTAAATTTCTGTTTAACAAACAGCATTTAGCTGAGATTTCACTCAAAAATAAAATGGGCTAAATTATCCTATTTAAAAACAAAACTGTTGAGAAAATGAAGAGTGGCAATTTACTATATTAGTAATTTTCAAATCTCAAAATACAGCAGCATCTTTAAAACCATTCTGAAGCTGCTTTTAAGATCATTCATCTTCATCCAGATCATACCATATTCTTGGCTGCAAGAAACTAAACAGCCATTCCTAAGCCTCCTGTATATCCAAGACTTACCTTTGCAGAGGCAGCAATTTCCTGTACTCCCTTGGCAGCAGCATCTCTTATGATTGGTGTAATAAGACCTCGGTCTGTTGCCACAGCAATAGAAATGTCGATGGATTGCAGCTGCCTGGGGCCCTCCCCATCCCAGGTCACGTTCACATCTGGCATTTGCTGAAAAACAGAAACACAAGAGACACATAGCTGTTAAAAGAATAATGGTGCAACCAATTATTAACAAAAAGGAAAGCCCTTTAAAATGCATGGAATTATGTAGGCATTCACCAAAGTAATTAGAATGCTATTTTAGACTGAAGGCAAGAACAGGTCACATCTGTCATCAGGATTGCCATGAGCAAGACAAGGAAAATAATAATACAAGACTTACCCTGAAGGTCTAAGAATAGACTTACTTTATTAGCAAGTATCTATTTAAAGTAACTTCGCCAGCAAGTGTGAATTTATGCAGTGGAGATGGAAACTGTGCAGCAAGGGGGCAACCAGAAGGACTTCTGGATGCTTGGTATTGCTAGGAAACTAATGAATATATTAACAGGAGCCTCTAAATCCCCTTTGGTGTTTATATGCATCACTTTGTGGATTCTTAAAATAAGAGCTACAAGTAGGATGGCTTTCCCCAACTATAAAGAAATGTAAATTGATGCATTATATTTACATTTTATACTAGAGGACAGCAAACAGAAGAAAATGAAAGCAAATGCAGAGGTAGTATTAGAGACACATGAGTATAGTCACGTTAATTGCTTTTATACTGCATCCCTTGGGCTCAACTCTGATCAAAGAAAGATTTCACAGACACATTCTAAAGGCTGAACTCCATTACTGGTGTAATGTTAATTTTGCAAAAGGATGGAATCAGATTGGAACTAGGAGACCATTTATGGTAAGATTAAAAGGGCTCAATCATATTAACCATAAAAAGCTTAAGGTGGCTCAGGTAGGTGGGGGGATAAAATGGCTTGTCTTTAGCCTTCACGTCTAGCTCTCCTTTCAAATGCAACAGGGACCAAATATCAATGTGCCTGCTAAGTCGTCTGATCAATAGGTCTTGAATCAGGGTGGCCTCCTCGTTAGGTCTTCGCCAGCCACTCTGCTCTTGAGGTAACTGCTCACTTTGCTCTCCCACCATGCCTTGATGAAAAATATGACAGATGTTATCAAGGCAGGAGGCTACCTGTTACTCGCCCTGCTGACAAGGGCCTAATACTCACTCCAACCTCCCTTCCATGGGTCCCATGCTTTGCAGATGTTGCCTCTGGTGTTACTTGTCTGGCCTATGGCCAAAGCAAACTGGGCACACAGTTATAGCTCTTCTCTACAGCCCTGGAGGGCAACTCACCTGCCACCCTTCTCTCACTGGGGTCCCATTTACTCCACTGGCTTTCACCCAGCCTCTTTCATACTGCCCTCTCTCAGGGGGTCACACTCACACTGCCTGGCCTCACCCAACTTCAGGCTTAGCTCTCCTCTCCTCAGTCAGCACTGGTGCAGTATGATGGGTGTCTCCCGCTACCCTCATCTGAGCATTGACTGAGTGATTGTACAACTGTAGGTCTATTTCACTCCTAGACCCTTGCTGGGCCACTGGGCCTCCTCACTCACCCACACTCACGGGGTTGCTCTGCTCGTCACCCCTCTCACATAGGGTCACTTTGCTTGTTGCCCCTCTCATACATGGTCTGACTTGCACCCCCAGGCTTAACCCTACTGCCTGGGTGCGGCCCCAGGTCCCTCCTCCAGCCTGAGCTCTGCCTCACAGCTCCTTAATGAGCCCTGGGCTCCCCCTGCTCATTAGAACACCACCAGGGATGTGGGGCTGGGGTTATAAGGTGCCCTGACCCGCCTTTCACTGGGGAAGTAACTGGTCTGGCATTTCCTGGGGGCTCCCACGCCACTAGGAGCCTCACCAGATCACCCCAGCAGGGTGCAGTTTTATGTCTTACCCAGGACAAGGGATCGCCTCCTCCCCAAAGCCCCTGCCATTACCTCCTGACTCTGGCCAGTGCAGCCTCTCAGCCTGATGTTACCTCCTTCTTCCTGCAGCAAACTGCAGCTCAGCTTATATCCCTGGGTCTAAAATAGCTGCCCTCATGAGGCACCTGGCTGCTGCCTGTTTTGTGCCCTTAAAGTGGCAGGCACCAAAGGTGCCATACCACAGGCCTGCTAAGTGTCATGTACTACATGAGGTGTTAGGAAGTCTAGTCTCTAGTGTGAAGGTAAGCCACCAAAAAACAAGTACTGGAATAAATACAAGGACCAAACTCTCCTCTGATACCATGTCAGGGTCGAAGTAGGAAGGGAAAGACATTTGCTAACCTGACTTTACACACCAAGGCTATCAGTCTTACATAAGTCACCTTAAAAAAAAGAGGCTGAAAACAGCGACCTAAAAACAGAGGCAGCACCCCCCCTTCCCCCCGAGCAATGGAAACACATGCACTTACTTAAGTGCATGTATACCTTTGATAGCAGGGGCAGATGATTATTTTGGCTGGGGAGGTGCTTAACAAGCTTTGGCGAGCTGTTGAGGGCTGCATGAGTAGCCTCGCCCCTTGACAGGTACCCTGAACCCTGGTCTCCATCTAAGGCTGGAAGCCCCGCCCCCTGACCTTTGCCACCAGAAGTTCCTCCCCTTGCCCCCCAGAAGCACTCTCATCGGCAAGGGGTTTGCCATCTTGGAACCAGAAAAAAAACCCCAAACTATATTCTAAAAATCAAACATCTGCTACAACTTACATTTATTTAAAAAAATATTGTTATCCTGATTTACATACATTTGTGTAGTGTACATAGAAATGACTGCATAACAGCTTAAAATGAAGTCTTACTTTTGTATACTGTAGGGGGTGT